AAGTTATATATTCTCTAATCCCCTCACTCCATCCATTTTTCATTCATAAATTGATATTTAGCTAGATCAGTCGTTCTTAATCTTAACTATGTATTACAATCACCTCAGAAAACTCCAACAATAGTAAGTGGACCCCACTCCAGACCAATTAGATCCATATCCCTTGGGGCGGACTTGAACATTTTTTTAATGCCCCAATAATTCTAATATTTAGCCAGAGTTGAGAACTATTGAGCCAAGTAAACTAGTCATAGATCCTCTTCTTTTAAAGAGAATATATATATGAATATATATATGTGTGTGTATGTGTGTGTGTATTCTTAGGTGTTGGGTATACAAAGATTAATAAAATGTACCTCTCAATGCACACAGGACATTTTAATGCATCTCTTAACTACATTATGACAGATACATACATAAGGTGCTATGATAACACAGAAGAGATACATCCAACCTAATAATGAAAGGGGAGAGGGCAGATAGAAAGGTATTAAGTAAGATTTCTGGAGGAAGTAATAAATGGGTAAGTAGGAATTAACTTTGTTGTTTCCTGCCTCTCTTTGCTTTTGTTATCCCCTCTGCTTTGTGCCTGGCTTTTCTGCCGCCATCCTTTCTTGCGGTTAACACAGATCATTGCTCACAGTTTGTTGTTACCAATAAAGTAGTAGGCATGAAATAAAGAGCAAATAAGAAACTCTGGCCAAAAAAGAACATGGAGGTCCTCATATGCCACATTAAGAATACTGACCTAAAAAAAAACAGACTGCCAGATATTTCTCAGGCAAAGATAGGTTTATTCAGGATCAGCAGAAATGTGGGGTGTGCAACCATGGCGAGCCACATGCAAGTCCCCTCGAAGGAAGAAAGCTTATATAGAGAAGAAAAGGAAGTTGGGAGGGCTACAGTAAACAGAGTCCACAGCTCTTCATTGGTTAAGTTGTTGTCAGGATAGAAGCAGAGTCTTCTAGTTGAGCTCTGCTATTGTCACAGGGCATGAGAGTGCCCCCCTCAGGTCTCCCAACTCTATTTAATTGAGATTTCTGTTTATTAATTTTTTTTTCAAGGAGCTTAAATTTTATCCTGTAGCTGATAGGCAGTCAGCAACATGTTAAGCAGGCTGCATGCTGAGTAAATCTATGGTAGCCATGAGGAGCAGAGGTCATAGCTAATACTCACTGAGCTCTTACCATCTGCTAGGCAGTATACCGCTGAGCACTTCACACTGATTATCTCACATAATCCTCCCACCACCACAATTCTATGGTAGCTACTATTATCTTTATTTTACAAACGAGGAAGTAGTAGCTTGCCCAAGTCATGTAGTTATTAAGGGATAGAGAAGGAATTCAAAACATTTCTGATCCCTGAAGCCTTTAACCTCTAGGATAGATGGATTGGAAGGAGTGGAGTAAGAACCAGCAGAGACTACAGGCTAATAAATTAGTTAGAAACTATATTGTCCCAATTGAGAGACAATTAGGGCAATGGCAGTAGGGATGGAGAAGAGGAAAAAGATTCCAGAAATATTTGGTTTTAAAAGTTGTCAAAAGTTATATGATTCAGCCTTTAAAAGGAATGAAATTCCCATATATGCTACATGAATGACCCTTGAAAATGTGCTAAGCAAACTAAGCCAGTCACAAAAGTACAAATATTGTATGATACCACTCACGAGGTACCTAGTAGTAGTCAAATTTATAGAAACAAAAAGTAGAAGTTACCAGGAGCTGAATGGAGGGGATAATGGGGAGTTATTGTTTAATGGGTACAGAATTTCAGTTTGGGATGATTAGAAAGTTCTAGAGATGGATAGTAGTGATGGTTGCACAATAATGTGAACATGCTTAATGCCATTGAACTGTACACCTAAAAATGGTTAAAATGGTAAATTTTATGTTATACCGAGGTCCCTTGAACAACATGGGTTTGAAATGCGCAGGTCCATTTATACGTGGATTGTTTTCAATAAATACATACTACAAGGTCTGTGACTGGTTGAATCCGTGGATGCGGAGTCACGGATACAGAGGGTTAACTATAAAGTCAGACGCAGATTTTTGACTGCGTGGAGCTCAGTGTCCCTAACCCTTGCACTGCTCAAGGGTCCACTGTATATACTTTACAAATTTTTTTTTCAATTTTTAAAATAATTTTTAAAGGACTTCCCTGGCAGTCCAGTGGTTAAGACTCTGCACTCCCAGTGTAGGGGGCACAGGTTCGATCCCTGATTGGGGAACTGGGATCCCACATGCCACGTGGCGTGGCCTAAAATAAATAAATAAAAATAATTCTCGGGCTTCCCTAGTGGCGCAGTGGTTGACAGTCTGCCTGCCGATGCAGGGGACACGGGTTCGTGCCCCGGTCCGGGAAGGTCCCACATGCCGCGGAGCACCTGGGCCCGTGAGCCATGGCCGCTGAGCCTGCGCGTCTGGAGCCTGTGCTCCACAACGGGAGAGGCCACGACAGTGAGAGGCCCGCGTACCGCAAAAAAACTAATAATAATTAAAAAAATAATAATAATTCTCAAAAGCACATGACATAAGGAGGATGAGGGGGAAAGGGGGCCAAAAAGTCATTGTAGTCCTTAGCTTGGGAGACCAGGTGGGCAGTGGTACTATGCAGTATCTCTGATGAGGAAACAACGACTTATTATAACATTCAGGGAGAGCTGTCTAGAAAGGAAACAGACATGAGAATGAAGCTCAAAGGAATAACTGGGCTGAAAATGCAGTCATCAACAAGCAGGTCATAGTTAAAAACCACGATAATGCATGAGATTGCCCAGGGAAAACATAAAGTAAGAAGAGAAATGGGCTGAGGATAGAACCTTAGGAAACAGCAAGGTCAGATAAAGAGGAGCTCACAAAGGAGATAAGAGGAAGCAGTCAGAAAGGTAAATAATTAAAAGAGAAGGTAGCAGAAATGATAATATTTGGGAGAGAGGGCAATGAAGATGGTGGGGAGAGCCAGCAAGAAATAAAAAGGAGCTGGAGAAGATACACCACCATACCCATTTCTCTCCTTCTGCTCCTACTTTTTGCAGTTCCAGTGAAGACCTGAGTTTCTAATTTTCTATAGCACTATAAGATTAGCAAACAAATCCTACACTGAGGAAAAACTTAACATAGTAATATGCACTTTAAAACAGGAACACGTCAAAAATTGTCAGGAATATATTTTATGAAACAGTAATAATGCTCAACCTACATAAAAACTTAAGATCTCTGGCAGTCTATACAGGAAAAGTAAATAAGTAGGGCTAATTGTAACTTGCTTTAAGCAATTAGAATTTCTGAAAAGCTACTTATAGAGAGCTATTTATAAAATTTTCTGAAAATTAAATCAGCATAAACTTTACCAGATTACTATTTTAAGTTAACCTACAGTAAGTTTTTTAAAATGTTATAAATTAAATTCTTTTGACTGTTTGGATGTTTGTGTTTTAAACATAGATTTTAAAACCAAGCAACAAGTTATATGAAAAGTTATCTAATATATCACATGCCCATAAAGCATAATAGCACTAATCTAAAGCTTATTATGGTGACAGAGCTATTAAAAACTCTATATACATCTCTGATAATTCTAAACATTATGAGCTTGGTTTTATGCCCAGTTTACAGACTTATGACTGAATTTCAGAGAGCAACATTACCTAGCTTGCTTGTAAGTGGTAAATCTAGAATTTGAACCTATTGTGGCTTTAAAGCTTAAACTCTTAACCACTAGCCCCTAAACAATCCTTAATCTCCCTTAACTAATCTACTTCCCCATATCAGAACAAAGTACAATGTGACATCTAATAAGTAAGTAGAATAAGTCCTTGAATCATCACACCAGAAATCTTCAAAGTTCATACAGAGTGCAGGAGAAAAATGCCTCTAAAAGTTATATTCCAAGTGATAAAAACAAACGCTTATTTTACAGTTATTTTCCCTCAAAACCAAATGTTTCATAATTACGAGTTTATCCTCCATTTCTTAATTTTATATATTATGTGAAAAATATAATGAACACTCAATAAACATTTTAAACTTAATACATTATACCAAACTAAACCAAAAACAGACTTGCTAAAAGATTTTGAACAGGCTTCATCAAACATCTGAAATATTCTAAAACAAGTCAAATGGTTTCTGATAGACATATTCTTTGTTCATTATCCTTCACTGTACCCTGTACCTTCCCCTTCTATCTAGAAAAATGTTAAGGTGACACTTAACTACTACATTGCTACAGATTTGTACAGCGGTTCTAAAGGACCACTAAACCATTAGCTAGAGACACAAACCTTTATTTGTCATATGTCACTAAATTGTATAAATGGAGTTAGCTGTAAGACATAATTTTACATTTGTAAAAAGATAATGCAAGATTTTTAAATTTTACCATGTGAAATTCTCCATGAATCTTTCTGCCATCACTATGAATTCCTTGGAAATTAATAATGTAAACCTATTTTTAATATGGAAGGCTAATTAGGAGCTATTTTTTAGTGGTTTGAATTCCAAAAGAAATTAAGTTAACTAGTATTTTAGCAAATGGAGAAACAAAGTATTTACTAGCAAGATAATTCCTCATGTAGAGAAAACTTTCACATGGGAGTTTAAGAAAATTAGGTAGAGCAAGAAAAAAAATACTTTGAACCTCTTTTGTATATTAAGTATGACAATGAATTACCTCAAAACACTCATTTAATTACTAGAATGCATTTCTGAATCTTAAATTTTATCTGCAGACACAATGTAAGGGAAAGGTAAATGGATTACCTTAAAACAAATGCATTTTCTTTAAAGAAATATTCTAATTCATTAATTGAAACTAAAAGTTTAGAAATGTTGAGCATTTAGTTATACTAAAAATAATAAAGAAAGAATCTTCTAAAGGGAAAAACAAAACATGCTTTTGAGTAACCTTACAGTTTAAAAAAAAACACTCAGGACATCTAATCACTGGCTACTGTTTATCTCCTAATTCCATTAAATTGAACATAGAACTACCTTCTTTGAGATAGGTAGGCTGCTGGGCTCCTCTGTATTTCTTGGCTGCTTTACAGAATCACATCCACACATCCTATTTTTAAGAACACGAAGCTGAACATCAGGCGTGTGCTGGTGCTGAGCCCCCTGAGGGCCTGTGGACAGGGGCCCACCACGCAGATTTTGAGTCATGCTAGCTGAAACACTGAGCACTGGCTCCACATTAGAATCCATTTGACAGAGCTGTGAAGGAACTACAACACCTGAAAGGCTGATATACTGAGAGTTTTCCGGCTGACTCAGTAAAGCTTCAGACATGATTTTATGCTGATTTCCAGGATGTAAAAGAGTATCACCAGTAGCATTTTCTAAACGTTTCCTATCCACTGTCCCAGAACGAAGAACTACAGGTTGTTGGAGCACAGTTTCCATTCTCTGTGATTTTTCAGTAGTTGCTTGAAGACACCATGGGTTTAATTGTGGAATACTGGTCTGTATTATTGAAGGCTGCCCAAGCTGCTGAAATACTTGCTGAAATGGATGCTGAAGAATACTTGCTCTTCCAGAAGTCTGTGTCACCATAATTGGTACATTAACTTTATAAAGGTAACCTTAAAAAGAAGAAAACAAAACTGTAAGTATAACAGAATCCTAATTTCCTTTAAATTTCCTAAAAAAAAAATCTCATGCACAGGAGGCTAGGAGGAAATATGTCAATATGTTAATAGTGGTTACCTCTAGGAGTTTTCCTTTTATTTTTCAGATTTTTTGTGTTTTCTATAATAAATATATATTACTCTTATTTTTTAAAATTAAATATATCTTGCTTTAACTCTAGCCATTTCCCACTATTGCTTATATGGCACATTTTGAGACACATACAGGCTACCAATATTTATTCCATGAACCTCTCCCATTGTTTAATAAATTACAGTGTTAACAACCCAAATTGGGATTTTAAGAAACCTAACCGTGGAGAACGTATTTCATATAGTTAAGGTGTAAGATACCATATAACAACTATAAGACTAGGATATCCAAAAAGGGTTTAATAATTTCAAAAGTTATCAAATTTCCCCCCTCTTTCCTTTAAAATAATACTAACCAGAAGAAAGAAGAAATTTATTTTTTGAGCATTGAGTCAGGTGCTTGCTTAAACTCTGTAACAACCCAAAAAATAGATATGATTCTCTTTCAAATCAAGAAACATTTCTTTGAAAAGCAGAGGTTAATCTCCAAATTTTTCAAATATTCTTATACAATCTCCAATAAGAAAGGAGGCAAAGGTTGATAAATCTAATCTTTAGCTTTTCTTGATTAAAGCTAGCCAGGACACATGTGTGTCAAAATTCAGGTAACTGACTTGAATTAGAGAAAACCTATATAAAGCATCTTACACAATGTTGGGATGAGAACTGGAAGTGAAATATAGGACAAGCTTAGTACCTGCCTTAGTAGACAGGCTTAGTGTATTTCGTGGTAGACTGCTTCCATAACAATAAAAACTACTATTTATTATTTTTAAATAAGTTTTATTAAAAGTTCCTATAACTTCAATAACTTGTGGTATACAGTTTATTTAAAATCATGAAAGTTAAGACCCAGAAGTTAGTACCAAAGCTAAAAACAAAATATTTTTAAACTATACTCTTACCAGATGCCGTCTGTAATGTCACACCTGCTGGTACATGAACAGGATAACCAGGAAAAGTAAAGTTTGCACTGGAGTTTGAGGTGCCCTAGATATGAAAATTTCATATTAGAAAGTTAGAAAAAGGTTTTTCTTGAAGCTTTTTTTCCTGATCTTACGGAGGATAAAAAAAATCTGATTAAGGTCAACAGGACAATAGTAGCACTTAACATTAGGGCTGAGTTCTCTGAATAAAACAACTTTTTAATATTTGATTTAGATCATCTCATTAAAAATAAAAGGAATTCTGGGCTTCCCTGGTGGTGCAGTGGTTGAGAGTCTGCCTGCTGATGCAGGGGACACGGGTTCGTGCCCCGGTCCGGGAGGATCCCACATGTTGCGGAGCGGCTGGGGCCGTGAGCCATGGCCGCTGAGCCTGCGCGTCCAGAGCCTGTGCTCCGCAACGGGAGAGGCTGCGGCGGTGAGAGGCCCGTGCACCGCAAAAAAATAAAAAATAAATAAAATAAAATAAAAGGAATTCTGTTCTATGGCTATTAGCAATGAAGTCAGTAAGGCTTCATAAATAACATGAACACTGACTCATAAAACTTGCCCACAGCACAGCTTTGCGTGGGCCACTGATACCCAGATATCAAATATAAGAACCACAGCTGTTTATAGGAGTCCTCTAATCTGTAAGTTGATCACTAATGTTATTTTAAAACAGATAACACAACAGTGTATAATTTTTATTTTGGAATAATTAAACCGTAGGGTTTTACATTTTTAATACTAAATGAAAAGACAAAAAAAGTTTTTGCCTACTAGACCTGCAAAAATTTAAAAGATTGATTAATAATAGCCAATGTTGGTAAGGATGTGATAAAAATCAGTTCTCTCAGACCACTGCTTATGAGTGTATATGGTACAATCCTTTCAGAGGCCAATTTTGTAACATATACCAAAACTGAAAACATGTATAATCTTTGACCCAGAAATTCTACTTCTAGGAATTTATCCTGATTACCTGATTACCACACAAATACACCAAGACATATCTACAAGTGTAATCACTGGAATGCTATATTAGAAAAACACTAGCAAGAATTTAAATGTCCATAAACAAAAGACTGGTTAATTAAGCTTGATACATCCACTAAGGCTAATCAGTATTTAACTGGCACTGAAAACAGTCCATCTATATTACTAAGTTTAAAAAAAAAATTACGGAAACGGTACAGAGAATGATCCTGCTTTTACCCTGAAAATTAAGGTTAACTTTCTTTAATGAAAGAAGTCTAAATGGATATACATCATACAGTTAAACAGTTATCTTTGGGTTATAATACTACAGGGCTCTATCACTTTTTACTTTATAAATTTGTTTGGTTTTACTCTTTAGAAGTATATTATTTCTTTAATGAGGAGAAAAGGTATTTCCAAGAATTTCAAAGGCAGAGATATTTCTTCACTGGTTTCATATCAAAACCAGCACCATTCTTCCCAAAAATCCTAGAAAGGGCTATGCTTTTTGTTTGTTCTTAATGAAGAAATAGAAATAAATGGCCTACTAAAATCCTGTACCCTAGAAAGGAAGCTCATGGGCTAAAAGAAAATGAAAAACTTTATATATCACATTTTACCTTCAAAGAAAGGTAACAGAGAAAAAGTTCTATTTTGCCCCACCTGAAAAGTACTCAATTTTCTATATATAAGTTTTAATTTTATCTTCTGCCCCCAAATCCCGGGGGGGGGGGGGGAGGAAATCTAACCTCTATTATACAATGGTAAAAAAATAACCAAAATATTCCACTTGAATAAAAGGAAGAATTATGATGTGCCTCAACCCTAGGGGAAAAAAAATCAGAAAAACATTCGTATCAAAATCATCTATTTAGGATCCACCAAGTATGTAACATTATACAGTCTATTAAAACTCCATACAATGTAAGTTAAGAAATTTCCTAACCTTGTAGGTACAGTCTTGGCAGATGCTAACAACTGCTCTGGAAGACAGGAAAAGTTGGTAAGAAAATATTAATCCTGGAACTCCTGAATTTTTGCAACACCTATGTTATAGGAGCTATTTCTATCTCCTCATCCCTTACCACATCTTTTCTCATTCAACAGGAGGATCACAAATTACATCTCTGCCCAGTCTTCTGTCACCATTCACTAAAACTGGGGCATCTCTGTTAAAATATATCTTAGATATTGGTTCAAGATGGCGAAATAGAAGGACATGCTCTCAGTCCCCCTTGCAACAACACCAGAAACACAACTAACTGCTGAATAATCATCGACAGGAAGACACTGGAACTCACCAAAAAAGATACCCCACACCCAAAGACAAAGGAGAAGCCACAATGAGACGGCAGGAGGGGCGCAATCACAATAAAATCAAATCCCATAACTGCTTGCTGGGTGACTCACAAACTGGAGAACACTTAGACCACAGAAGTCCACCCACTGGAGTGACGGTTCTGAGCCCCACATCAGGCTTCCCAATCTGGGGGTCCGGCAACGGGAGAATCACACTTGGAAGGCTAGCAGGAATTGATTGCAGGACTTTGACAGGACTGGGGGAAACAGAGACTCCACACTTGGAGGGCAAACACAAAGTAGTGTGCGTGTTGGGACCCAGAGGAAGGAGCAGTGACCCCATATGAGACTGAACCAGACCTACCTGTTAGTGTTGGAGGGTCTCCTGCAGAGACAGGTGGTGGCTGTGGCTCACCATGGGGACAAGGACACTGGTAGCAGACGTTCTGGGAAGTACTCCTTGGCGTGAGCCCTCCCAGAGTCCGCCATTATCCCCACCAAAGAGCCCGGGGAAGTCTCCAAAGTTGGGTTGCCTCAGGCCAAACAACCAAGAGGGAGGGAACACAACCCCACCCATCAGCAGACAAGTGGATTAAAGTTTTACTGAGCTCTGCACACCAGAGCAACACCCAGCTCTACCCACCACCAGTCCCTCCCTTCAGGAAGCTTGCACAAGCCTCTTAGATAGCCTCATCCACCAGAGGGCAGACAGCAGAAGCAAGAAGAACTATAATCCTACAGCCTATGGAACAATAACCATATTCACAGAAAGACAGACAAGATAAAAAGGCAGAGGGATAGGTACCAGATGAAGGAACAAGATAAAACCCCAGAAAAACAACTAAATGAAGTGGAGACAGGCAACCTTCCAGAAAAAGAATTCAGAATAATGATAGTGAAGATGATCCAGGACCTCAGAAAAAGAATGGAGGCAAAGATCGAAAAGATGCAAGAAATGTTTAACAAAGATCTAGAAGAATTAAAGAGTAAACAAACAGAGATGAACAACACAATAACTGAAATGAAAAATACACTAAAAGGAATCAATAGCAGAAAAACTGAGGCAGAAGAACAGGTAAGTGACCTGGAAGACAGAATGGTGGAATTCACTGCCTCAGAACAGAATAAAGAAAAAAGAATGAAAAGAAATGAAGACAGCCTAAGAGACAACATTAAATGCAACAACATTCGCATAACAGGGGTCCAAGAAGGAGAACAGAGAGAGAGAAAGGACCCGAGAAAATATTTGAAGAGACTACAGTCGAAAACTTCCCTAACATGGGAAAGGAAATAGCCACCCAAGTCCAGTAAGTGCAGAGAGTCCCATACAGGAGAAACGCAAGGAGAAACACACCGAGACACACAGTAATCAAATTGGCAAAAATTAAAGACAAAGAAAAATTACTGAAAGCAGCAAGGGAAAAACAACAAACAACATACAAGGGAACTCCCACAAGGTTAACAGCTGATTTCTCAGTACAAACTCTACAACCCAGAAGGGAGTGGCATGATATACTTAAAGTGATGAAAGGGAAAACTTACAACCAAGATTACTCTACCTGGCAAGGATCTCATTCAGATTTGACGGAGAAATCAAAAGCTTTACAGACAAGCAAAAGCTAAGAGAATTCAGCACCACCAAACGAGCTCTAAAACAAATGCTAAAGGAATTTCTCTAAGTGGGAAACACAAGAGAAGAAAAAGATCTACAAAAACAAACCCAAAACAATTAAGAAAATAGTAATAGGAACATATGTATCGGTAATTAAACATGAATGGATTAAATGCTCCACCCAAAAGACACAGCCTTGCTGAATGGATACAAAAATGAGACACATATATACGCTGTCTACAAGAGACCCACTTCAGACCTTAGGGACACAGACTGAAAGTGAGGGGATGGAAAAATATTCCACGCAAATGGAAATAAAAAGAAAGCTGGAGTAGCTACACTCACAGCAGATAAAATAGACTTTAAAATAAAGAATGTTATAAGACACAAGGAAGGACACTACATAATGATCAAGGGATCAATCCAAGGAGAAGATATAACAATTATAAACATATATGTGTAAGGTCGGATCTTAACGAACGGCACCGCAAAACAGAGGAAAGCTTCAAGTGAGCTTTATTAGGGAGTGCTTCCGGGCGAGGTTCACCGGTCCGAGAGAAAGGGGCCAGAGAAGTCGCACCCGGGTGAGGGTTGGGCAAGATTTTATAGGGGAAGAAGGGAAAGGGGTGTGGTGAATCTGGGAAGGCGCAGGGTATTCCGTATTTGGTGGTCTTTTCGGGTATCCTGGGGGACCGTTAGTCCCGCCCCTCAAAAGGCGGGAAGGCTGGGCTGGGTTCAAAGTCCCCAGGTCAGTTCCTGGAACTGGGTGGTCCGGAATGTCTCCAGGGCAGTTTCTGGAACTGGGTGGTCCGGAGAATTTCGTTCTGATGCAACCTGTGAATCTGCTTGTGTTCCCCTGCCTCCGGCCAGTTGGCCTTACAATATGCACCCAACATAGGAGCACCTCAATACATAAGGCCACTGCTAACAGCTATAAAAGAGGAAATCGACAGTAACACAATAATAGTGGGGACTTTAACACCTCACTTACAACAATGGACAGATCATCCAAACAGAAAATTAATATGGAAACACAAGCTTTAAATGACACAATAGACCTCATAGATTTAATTGATATTTATAGGACATTCCATCCAAAAATGACAGATTACACTTTCCTCTCAAGTGCAGACAGAACATTCTCCAGGACAGATCACATCTTGGGTCACAAATCAAGCCTCAGTAAATTTAAGAAAACTGAAATCATATCAAGCATCTTTTCTGACCACAACGCTATGAGATTAGAAATCAATTACAGGGAAAAAAAACATAAAAACACAAACACATGGAGGCTAAACAATACATTACTAAATAAACAAGAGATCACTGAAGAAATCAAAGAGGAAATCAAAAAATAACTAGAGACAAATGATAATGAAAACACGACGATCCAAGACCTATGGGATGCAGAAAAAGCAGTTCTAAGAGGGAAGTTTATGCTATACAAGCCTACCTCAAAAAAAAGAAAACTCTCAAATAAACAATCTAACCTTACAACTAAAGGAACTAGAGAAAGAAGAACAAACAAAACCCAAAGTTAGCAGAAGGAAAGAAATCATCAAGATCAGAGCAGAAATAAATGAAATAGAAACAAAGAAAACAATAGCAAAGATCAATAAAACTAAAAGCTGGTTCTTTGAGAAGATAAACAAAATTGATAAACCACTGGCCAGACTCATCAGGAAAAAGAGGGAGGGCTTCCCTGGTGGCGCAGCAGTTGAGAGTCCACCCGCCAATGCAGGGGACGTGGGTTCGTGCCTCGGTCTGGGAAGATCCCACATGCCGCGGAGTGGCTGGGCCCGTGAGCCATGGCTGCTGAGCCTGCATGTCCAGAGCCTGTGCTCCGCCATGGGAGAGGCCACAACAGTGAGAGGCCCGCGTACCGCTAAAAAAAAAAAAAAAAAGGAAAAAGAGGGAGAGGACTCATATCACTAAAATTAGAAATGAACAAGGAGAAGATACAACAGACACCACAGAAATACAAAGCATCCTAAGAGACGACAAGCAACTCTATGCCAATAAAATGAACAACCTGGAAAAAATGGACAAATTCTTAGAAAGGTATAACCTTCCAAGACTGAACCAGGTAGAAATAGAAAATATGAACAGACCAATCACAAGTAATGAAACTGTGATTAAAAATCTTCCAACAAACAAAAGTCCAGAACCAGATGGCTTCACAGATGAATTCTATCAAACATTCAGAGAAGAGCTAACATCCATTCTTCTCAAACTCTCCCAAAAAACTGCAGAGGAAGGAACACTCCCAAACTCATTCTATGAGGCCGCCATCACCCTGATACCAAAACCAGACAAAGATACTACAATAAAAGAAAACTATAGACCAATATCACTGATGAATATAGATGCAAAAATCCTCAACAAAATACTAGCACAGAATACAACAACATATTAAAAGGATCATACACCATGATCAAGTGGGATTTATACCAGGGATGCAAGGATTCTTCAATATACGCAAATCAATCAATGCAATACACCATATTAACAAAGAATAAAAACCATATGATCATCTCAATAGATGCAGAAAAAGCTTTTGCCAAAATTCAACACCCATTTATGATAAAAACCCTCCAGAAAGTAGGCAGAGAGGGAACTTACCTGAACATAATAAAGGCCATATATGACAAACCCACAGCCAACATTGTTCTCAATGGTGAAAAAGTGAAACCATTTCCTTTAAGATCAGGAACAAGACAAGGTTGTCCACTCTCACCATTATTATTCAACATAGTTTTAGAAGTTTTATCCACAGCAATCAGGGAAGAAAAAGAAATAAAAGGAATCCAAATCGGAAAAGAAGAAGTAAAGCTGTCACTGTTTGCAGATGACATGATAGTAAACATAAAGAATCCTAAGGATGCTACCAGAAAACTACTAGAGTTAATCAATGAATTTGGTAAAGTAGCAGGATACAAAATTAATGCACAGAAATCTCTTGCATTCCTAGACACTAATGATGAAAAATCTGAAAGAGAAATAACGAAACACTCCAATTTACCACTGCAACAAAAAGAATCAAATACCTAGGAATAAACCTACCTAAGGAGACAAAAGACCTGTATGCAGAATACTTTAAGACAGTTATGAAAGAAATTTAAGATGAAGCAGATGGAGAGATATACCATGTTCTTGGATTGGAAGAATCAACATTGTGAAAATGACTATACTACCCAAAGCAATCTACAGATCAATGAAATCCTTGTCAAATTACCAACGGCATTTTTTACAGAACTAGAATAAAAAATCTTAAAATTTGTATGGACACATGAAAGACCCCGAATAGCCAAAGCAGTCTTGAGGGAAAAAAACGGAGCTGGAGGAATCAGACTCCCTGACTTCAGACTATACTACAAAGCTACAGTAATCCAGACAATATGGTACTGGCATAAAAACAGAAACAAAGATCAACGGAACAAGATAGAAAGCCCAGAGATAAACCCACGCACCTATGGTCAACTAATCTATGACAAAGGAGGCAAGGATATACAATGGAGAAAAGACAGTCTCTTCAATAAGTGGTGCTGGGAAAACTGGACAGCTACATGTAAAAGAATGAAATTAGAACACTCCCTAACACCATACACAAAAATAAACTCAAAATGGATTCGAGACCTAAAATGTAAGACCAGACAGTATAAAACTCTTAGAGTAGAACATAGGAAGAACACTCTTTAACAAAAATTAAAGCAAGATCCTTTATGATCCACCTCCTAGAGTAATGGAAATAAAAACAAACAAATGGGACCTAGTGAAACATCAAAGCTTTTGCAAAGCAAACTACAAACAAGACAGAAAGACAACCCTCAGAATGGGAAAAAATATTTGCAAATGAATCAATGGACAAAGGACTAATCTCCAAAATATATAAACGGCTCATGCAGCTCAATATTAAAAAAACAAACAACCCAATCAAAAAATGGGCAGAAGTCCTAAATAGACATTTCTCCAAAGAGGACATACAGATGCCCACAAAGCACATGAAAAGCCACTTAACGTCATTAATTATTAGAGAAATGCAAATCAAAACTACACCTCACACCAGTTAGAACTGGCATCATCAGAAAACCTACAAATGGGCTTCCCTGGTGGCGCGGTGGTTGAGAGTCCACCTGCCAATGCAGGGGACGCGGGTTCATGCCCCGGTCCGGGAGAATCCCACGTGCCGCGGAGCGGCTGGGTCCATGAGCCATGGCCACTGAGTCTGCACGTCCGGAGCCTGTCCTCCGCAATGGGAGAGGCCACAGCAGTGAGAGGCCCACGTACCGCAAAAAAAAAAAAGAAAGAAAACCTACCAACAACAAATGCTGGAGAGGGTGTGGAGAAAAGGGAACCCTCTTGCACTGTTGGTGGGAATGTAAATTGATACAGCCACTATGGAGAACAGTATGGAGGTTCCTTAAAAAACTAAAAATAGTATTACCATATGACCCAGCAAACCCACTACTGGGCATATGCCCAGAGAAAACCATAATTCAAAAATACACATGCACCCCAATGTTCACTGCAGCACTATTTACAATAGCCAGGTCATGGAAGCAACCTAAATGCCCATCGACAGACGAGTGGATAAAGAAGATGTGGTACATATATACACTGGAATATTACTCAGCCATAAAAAGGAACGAAATTGGGTCATTTAGAGAGACGTGGATGAATCTAGAGACTGTCATACAGAGTGAAGTAAGTCAGAAAGAGAAAACAAAATATCGTATGTTAACGCATATATGTGTAACCTAGAAAAATGGTACAGATGAACTGGTCTTCAGGGCAGAAATTGACACACAGATGTAGAGAACAAATGTATGGACACCAAGGGGGAAAGCGGTGGGGGGTGTGGGGGGTGTGATGAATTGGGAGATTGGGATTGACATGTATACACTGATGTGCATAAAATGGATGACTAATAAGAACGTGCTGTATAAAAAAATAAATAAAATAAAATTCAAAAAAAAGAATAGATTTTTAAATGCACATAATATCACAAAGTTGGTAGAGACAGAAATGACATAACACAATTAATGCCATACCATACTGAAAATGCTATTTAATACTATATACTCTCTGATTATATTTTGTCCTTATTCAGGCTTTGCATTGTACAATGACAAACTGTTTTAAAGCTGAAAAGAAAAATTTAAAAAAAAAAAAATATATATATATATATATCTTAAATAAGATACATACCAGTTCTGCTGTGGTAAAAGTGGGAAGAGTTTTACCAGCAGGAATAAGTAACGATGCTGTATAGGAAACAAAACAAAAATTACACATTCGTTAGAATTTACCAACTGAATAAAATTGCTAAGCATACCTTATTTTTTAAAAATGTTTTCCATCACTAACATATTCAAGCATGATGCATTCTAAACTTTCTGAGTCCACGTGAGGTAAAAGTATTTAATTACATCTCTTCCCAACAATTTTAAGTAAAGTATAGGTTAGTTGTAAGTCTTTAAGTAGAGGTTATAGATTATAGTATAGATTTCCAAAATGAAATCTCATTGTAATCAAGTATACTGTAATATAGAAATCCATAACAAAATACCTAAAAGGTTGTCTTTAGGAAGCCAATGTACCACTAAACCTCCATTACAACTTTTTAGACGGGAGAAAAAGTAGTATTTGTTAAAGTGGCATGTTTCCAACCAACTATTCTTTGAGCAAAAAAATGTAACCCAACATAAACCATTCCAAATCGTATAGGTTCAAAAAAAATTTCAATTCACCAATTCAACCTGCAATAAACCTACAATTTCATATATCTTTCCTTTATTATCACCAATTTTCTATGCTAACTATCCCTTCATTTATCATACATCTAAAAGACTGACATGAGAGAAACCAAGATGGTGGAGTAGAAGGACGTGCACTCACTCCCTCTTGCGAGAACACCAGAATCACAACTACCTGCTGGACAATCATCGACAAGAAGAGACTGGAACTCACCAAAAAAGACACCCCATATCCACAAACAAAGAAGAAGCCACCATGAGATGGTAGGAGGGGCGCAATCACAATAAAATCAAATCCCATAACTGTTGGGTGGGTGACTCACAGACTGCAGAACACCTATAGCACAGAAGTCTACCCACTGGAGTGAAGGTTCTGAGCCCCACGTCAGGCTTCCCAACCTGGGGGTCTGGCAATGAGAGGTGGAATTCCTAGAGAATCAGACTTTGAAGCCTAGTGGGAATTGATTGCAGGACTTCGACAGGACTGGGGGAAACAGAGACCCCACTCTTGCAGGGCACACACAAAGTAGGGTGCACATCAGGACCCAGAGGAAGGAGCAGTGACCCCAGGGAAGACTGAACCAGACCTACCTGCTAATGTTGGAGGGTCTGCTGCAGAGGAGGGAGGTGGCTGTGGCTCACCGTGGGGACAAGGACACTGGTAGCAGACGTTCTGGGAAGTACTCCTTGGTGAGGGCCCTCCAAGAGTCTGTCATTAGCCCCACCAAAGAGCCCAGGTAGGCTCCACTGTTGGGTTGCCTCAAGCCAAACAACCAACAGGGAGGGAACCCAGCCCCACTCATCAACAGTCAAGAAAATTAAACTTTTACTGAGCTTTGCCCACCAGAGCAACAGTCAGCTCTACCCCACAACTAGTCCCTCCCATCAGGAAACTTACACAAGCCTCTTAGATAGCCTCATCCATCAGAGGGCAGAAAGCAGAAGCAAGAAGAACTACAACCCTGCAGCCTATGGAACAAAAACCACATTCAAAGAAAGAAAGACAGGGCTTCCCTGGTGGCGCAGTGGTTGAGAGTCTGCCTGCCGATGCAGGGGAAACAGGTTCGTATCCCGGTCCGGGAGGATGCCACATGCCATGGAGCGGCTGGGCCCATGAGCCATGGCCGCTGAGCCTGTGCGTCTGGAGCCTGTGCTCCACAATGGGAGGAGCCACAACAGTGAGAGGCCCGCGTAGCACAAAAAAAAAAAAAAAAAAAAAAAAAGACAGACAAGATGAAAAGGCAGAGGGATAGGTACCAGATGAAGGAACAAGATAAAACCCCAGAAAAACAACTAAATGAAGTGGAGACAGGCAACTATCCAGAAAAAGAATTCAGAATAACGATAGTGAAGATGATCTAGGACCTCGGAAAAAGAATGGAGGCAAAGATTGAGAAGATGCAAGAAATGTTTAACAAAGACCTAGAAGAATTAAAGAACAAACACACAGAGATGAACAATACAATAACTGAAATGAAAGCTACACGAGAAGGAATCAACAGCAGAATATCTGAGGCAGAAGAACAGATAAGTGACCTGGAAGACAGAACGGTGGAATTCACTGCCTCGGAACAGAATAAAGAAAAAAGAATGAAAAGAAATGAAGACAGCCTAAGAGACAACATTAAACACAATAACATTAGCATTATAGGGGTCCCAGAAGGAGAAGAGAGAGAGAAAGGACCTGAGAATATATCTGAAGTGATTACAGTCAAAAACTTCCCTAACATGGGAAAGGAAATAGCCACCCAAGTCCAGGAAGCGCAGCGGGTCTCATATAGGATAAACCCAAGGAGAAACATGCTGAGACACATAGCAATCAAATTGACAAAAATTATTGAAAGTAGCAAGGGAAAAACAACAAATAGCATACAAGGGCACTCCCATAAGGTTAACAGCTGATTTCTTAGTACAAACTCTACAATCCAGAAGGGAGTGGCATGATATACTTAAAGTGATGAAAGGGAAAACCTACAACCAAGATTACTCTACCCGGCAAGGATCTCATTCAGATTTGACGGAGAAATCAAAAGCTGTACAGACAAGCAAAAGCTAAGAAAATTCAGCACCACCAAACCAGCTCTACAACAAATGCTAAAGGAACTTCTCTAAGTGGGAAACACAAGAGAACAAAAGGACCTACAAAAACAAAACAATTAAGAAAATGGTCATAGGTACATACATGTCAATAATTACCTTAAACGTGAATGGATTAAATGCTCCAACCAAAAGACATAGGTTTGCTGAATGGATACAAAAAGAGAACCATATATATGCTGTCTACAAGAGACTCACTTCAGACCTAGGGACACAACAGACTGAAAGTGAGGGGATGGAAAAGGATATTTCATGCAAATGGAAATCAAATGAAAGCTGGAGTAGCTATACTCATATCAGATAAAATAGACTTTAAAATAAAGAATGTTACAAGAGACAAGGAAGGACACTACATAATGATCAAGGGATCAATCCAAGGAGAAGATATAACAATTATAAACATATATGCACCCAATATAGGAGCATCTCAATACATAAGGCCACTGCTAACAGCTATAAAAGAGGAAATCGACAGTAACACAATAATAGTGGGGGACTTTAACACCTCACTTACAACAATGGACAGATCATCCAAACAGAAAATTAATAAGGAAACACAGCTTTAAATGACACACAGACCTGATAGATTTAATTGATATTTATAGGACATTCCATCCAAAAATGACAGATTACACTTTCCTCTCAAGTGCGGATGGAACATTCTCCAGGACAGATCACATCTTGGGTCACAAACCAAGCCTCAGTAAATTTAAGAAAATTGAAATCATATCAAGCATCTTTATTGACCACAACGCTATGAGATTAGAAATCAATTACAGGGAAAAAAAACATAAAAACACAAACACATGGAGGCTAAACAATACATTACTAAATAAACAAGAGATCACTGAAGAAATCAAAGAGGAAATCAAAAAATACCTAGAGACAAATGACAATGAAAACACGACGATCCAAAACCTATGGGATGCAGCAAAAGCAGTTCTAAGAGGGAAGTTTATAGCAATACAAGGCTACCTCAAGAAACAAGAAAAATCTCAAACAAACAATCTAACCTTACACCTAAAGGAACTAGAGAAAGAAGAACAAACAAAACCCAAAGTTAGCAGAAGGAAAGAAATCATCAAGATCAGAGCAGAAATAAATGAAATAGAAACAAAGAAAACAACAGCAAAGATCAATAAAACTAAAAGCTGGTTCTTTGAGAAGATAAACAAAATAGATAAACCATTAGCCAGACACATCAAGAAAAAGAGGGAGAGGTCTCAAATCACTAAAATTAGAAATGAACACGGAGAAGTTACAACAGAAACCAAAGAAATACAAAGCATCCAAAGAGACTACTACAAGCAACTCTATGCCAATCAAATGGACAACCTGGAAGAAATGGACAAATTCTTACAAAGGTATAACCATCCAAGACTGAACCAGGAAGAAATAGGAAGTATGAACAGACCAATCACAAGTAATAAAATTGAAACTGTGATTAAAAATCTTCCAACAAACAAAAGTCCAGGACCAGATGGCTTCACAGATGAATTCTAAGAAACATTTAGAGAAGAGCTAACACCCATCCTTCTCAAACTCTTCCAAAAAATCGCAGAGGAAGGAACACTCCCAAACTCATTCTATGAGGCCACCATCACTCTGATACCAAAACCAGACAAAGGTACTACAAAAAAAGAAAATTACAGACCAATATCACTGATGAATATAGATGCAAAAATCCTCAACAAAATACTAGCAAACAGAATCCAACAGCACATTAAAAGGATCATACACCATGATCAAGTGGGGTTTATCCCAGGAATGCAAGGATTCTTCAATATATGCAAATC